AATCCGTGCCAGGTGCAGGGTCTGCTGGCTGGGTGCTGGCAGGCTTGCACCTGGCACGGGCACCGTAGCCAGCCTGTGCCCCTTTAAGGGGGCCGGGAGGGGGGCATAGAGTTTCCCTGGTGTTGGCCAGAGTGGCCACCAGGGAAACCTGGGGAGGGCTAGCCTCCCACTAGTTCGAATTAAGGGGCTACACACCCCTTAATTCGAACTAGCTAGTTCGAACTAGGCTTAATCCTCGTAAAATGAGGATTACCTAGTTCGAACTAAGCGCTCCGCTAGTTCGAATTAAGTTCGAACTAGCGGAGCACTAGTGTAGCACCTATGAAAGTTAGTTCAAACTAACGTCCGTTAGTTCGAACAGTTCTAGATGCGCTAGTTCAAATTAGCTTAGTTCGAATTAACTAATTCGAACTAAGTTAGTTCGAATTAGCGCTGTAGTGTAGACATACCCTCTGACCCTTTCTGCCGCTCTTTTTGCTAGTCAGATGCAGAGTGATACCAGTGCAAATGCGCAAGACAGTCTCAAGGCCTGTGGAGCAAGTAATCACTTCTCAGACAAAGGCACTAAGCAAGCTGCGGAAAACAGCCTCCCTCTGGCCTGGTGAGCCAAAGCTTGTCTGAAGCTGCTGCGCGACAGTGGTGGTGGGGGTATTCCAGGCGACTGGCGAACACTAAGCATAGGCCCAGTCATTCTGTGCCTTGCCGGCTGAAACCCAACTTAGGGCAGCGTCACAAACAAATCAGTGGTAACAAAAAGGCACTGAGCCCTGAATAAACGAGAGTGTGCAAGTGTCACGTGCACTCTCCTTTTGCTGATACATAGCACAGGCATTCGGGTCCTAACGTCAGCCAGCAACATGGACAACATATGGAAACCAGCTCTGCAGAAGAGGGGACTTGTGGTAGCATTTGAGAGGTGCACTTGCATTCCCCCCCCTTTCCCGCACCCCTTTGCCCAGCAGGCACCAATTGCCGAGGGGGTACTTTCAAGGAGGTCTTAGGCCAGGTGGGACTCTCAGACCACCCCAGTTATATCCCATTTTTCCTTTTGGAAAATATGGTCATCCCCAGCTGGGGTGATATGGAGCGTTAATGCAAGGTAGGTTTATACACGTCCTCCTCCTACCCACTCTCTGGTCATCTTAAGGAACCCAAAGCACCCAGAACCAGCTTTTTTATTATATTTAGATGATGAAAATGGCAATAGCTGCTTAGCGGCAGCTTTCAAAAGCACATAGTTGCTTAACTTCTAGTGAGCTAAATAGCAGCAACATATGTATTTAAAAAAAATCTAGCTCTTAAGTTATGTTTCAAAATGTTAGTTTACTGATATATTGGTAGCTGTCCACTGCTGTCAGATTAGGCAGATTTTTCTTCCATTTTTGACTTGCTCAACACAAGTTAAAGGTGAATTTCAGCCTGGGCAAATGAAAAATGTCCTTGAACCACCACCCTCTTTAATGCTGTGGAGAGTCTTGAGTAGCCCCAGCGGTTTAAACCCAGGTAAGGCTCTTAGATTCCAGCTCTCAAAAAGCCAGTTTATCGTTCATCATTTACACTGCTTTTTAGTTGACTCAGTGTCGCGAGATGGCTCCCTTTCAGTTTCTGTTGCTAATCTACATCACATGCACTTGCCCAGAACTGTTGAAAACAGGCTTCTAGTAACTGCAGGCGCTTGGTTACAGATAGAAGTTAGCTTTTGACATGGGTACAGTCAGGACCACACTATGACACAGAGGGCAGACGGGCTGGGTTTGCAAGCATTCCACCTGCTCTGGACAGGGTGAGTAGTGTGCTCATAATCTGTAGTCAGTGTGGCGTTAGTGTTAGTCATGCAGGTCGAATGCATTCAGGTTCCTCTTTTGGCAAAATGGGAGAAAGTTCTTCTCTTGCTTAGCCCACAGCAAAAACCACAAAGGGTGTTTACAAAGGCTTTGCAGCACTGTAAGGGCGCCAAGAGCTTTAGACAGAGCTGACACTGCGGAAATGGGCATGGCAGAATAGCTGCATTAAAGGAGACTTGTTTAAAATGCCCAAAGGACCTTGCCATGGTAATCATGCGGTGGCTTATGTTTATAATAGTGCCTGTTAGTCTAAGCACTGTACAATAGATTGGGCAGAATCACTGCAGTGTTAATATTTAATATTTCCATGGGAGAGGACTATGATCTAGAGGTCCCAGTCAAGACCTAGGGCTTCACTGTGCCAGGCACTACACTATCATAAAAAGGCACAGTCCCAGCACCACTGAAATGCAGCCACTTCTGGTGTGGAACATAGCAAATGATGAATGCATATGGGAAAACTAAATAACAGTTGTTGGGTTGGAAAAAAACCCAAGGGGGGTGCTAAAAAGTAGGAAGCCATGTTTTAATGAAAAAAACTAACCCATTCTAATAAAAACAGCTAAAAATGTCACGACTGCCTCAGTGACTGAGAGCCCGTAGTGACTTTGGCACATCAATGAGATTTGACCCTAAAAGCACGTTTTGTAATGAATCTTTGAAGCTTTTACATATTTCTCCCATAACCTACAAGGATATCACTGGCCACCTCAGATCCATTAAAGTTCCCCATTCTGGGTGTGAGAAGCCCTGAGTAGTTTTGCACTAAGGAGTCATTCTGGTCTACAGGATAACATATATCTAGGCAGGTCTTTGGCTGCGTATAGTGTGGTGTCCCATGAACTATATTGTCATACAGTTCTAAATGGTCTGTTTCCCCAAGGGACCATGGGGATGTCTGTGGTATCATTCCGGCCTGTCAGTAAACAGGTATTGAACAAGCATCTGTAATGTTCAGGAAGGTGCCGATCCTGCTGGGAATGCTGTACAGGCAGAGTGTTCACACAAATGGGACAAGCCCCTTTTGAAAAAGTGTTTGCAGCATCCACTGAGTGCTGGAACACTGGCCCTGAGCAACACACCACATGGAATGGTAGCCTGGTTCCGACAGTGGCCAGTACCAGATGCTTCACCCGAAGGTGCAAATACCCTGAAATGCTTCTAAGTGAACACTAGTCTCAGTCTTACCCCGTTTTGTGAATATAAAGAGGAAAAGCCCACAATACTGAGAGACTAATAATTTGTAATCAGCTTGGTTTTCCCCTTCCTCCAAAGGGTTTAAGATTTAAAGGGTTTCAGACTTTTCCAAACTATTACAGTTGAACTGTCTAAGGTTTTGGCCATAAGTGCTGGAACTAGGGGTGAGGATAAATAAAGTTTACACTCTGGTTCAATGGCTCTTTGCACCCCCACTGTACAAGTGTTCCAGCATCCCTGATTTCAGCCCTTTCTGTCTTGTGAAGCCAGTTCAGTATTTTGTAGGAGAGAAGCCAAATATGTAAATCCTGCTTGCACATTCAGGTTTGCCGTACTTAACACTGAAACAGATGCTAGTTGCGGAGTGAAGCAATTTGTAGTCAAAGCAGCTGTTATCAGTAATGAGGGGCTAACAGCAGCTGCAATAAACCGCAGTGTTTGAGAGCTAGAGAACCAGATTTGTCCAAAGCAGGCCCAGCTAGATTTCCAAGTGCTTGGCACCTATTCCTGGGGCAGGTTCCCTGTCCTGTTGACAGTTCTAGACCATTTATGACCATTTAAATTTGCCTTCATTGACGAATTGGTGTCAATAAATGCCAAATTCTAACTGAACCAATGTGTCACTCTCCTTGGGTTTCAAATGGCCAGCAAAGGAGTATGGGTCAGTGCCATTTAAAGTGACATGATGACAACTCCAGAGGCGACACAGTTTTGTAACACTTCCTATATACTCTGTTGCCATGTGGGCAACCTGCAGGAAAAAGCAAGGAGCTAAGCCCCAGCTTTGGGTAAGAATGGAAGGAGTAGCAGGTGAATGAGCAGGATGCTTTGCAAAGCCTTCTGCAGATCAGCAGGTGTCCAGCAGCACCTATAAGAAAGAAAGAAAGATGGATTGCAGGTTCAATTAGGGCCAGAGTAATGAATAGCCACTGTCTGTACTGCAAGAAGGTCCCTGCTTGTTCTGCAATAAAAACAGCTGCAAACTCCCCAACAGGCTCTGCCTACTTTGGACTTTTTTTGTACCCAAGATAGTTACACTCATAGGCTGTGTCTACATTGGCACCCCTTTCCGGAAAAGGGATGTTAATGAGACACTTCGGAGAAAAGGGATCTTTCGGAAAAGGGCTTATTTTCCACAAGATCCCGTCTAGACTGGCGCTTTTCTCCGGCAAAACCCCGAGCTGGAAAAAAGTGGCAGCCATGTTCATGCAAATGCCGTGGGGGATATTTAAATCCCCCACGGCATTTGCAATTCCGAAGTGTCTCATTAGCATCCCTTTTACGGAAAAGGGTGCCAGGGTAGACACAGCCATAGAGTTGCTCTAGCACAACCACAAGCAGGGTATGTCTAGACTACATCCCTCTGTCGCCAGAGAGATGTAAATTAGACATACTGAAATTGCTAATGATGCAGGGATTTAAACATCCCACGCTTCATTAGAATAAAAATGGCCACCGCTTTTTTGCCGACGTGGCATTTTGCTGGCAAAAAGCAGCAGTCTAGACGAGGATCGGTCGACAAGGAAAGCTTTTTCCAACCGATCCTGTAAACCTCGTTGCATGAGGCATAAGGGATCGGTCAGAAAAGGCTTTCCTTGTTGACCAATCCCCATCTAGACTGCCGCTTTGGCAAAAAGCAGTGGCCATTTTTATTCTAATGAAGCACGGGATATTTAAATCCCCTTTTCATTAGCAATTTCGGTATGTCTAATTTACATCCCTCTGGCGACAGAGGGATGTAGTATAGACATACCCGCAGTGACATGCTGCACTGTTGTTAAAAAGTGATTTACTTACACCAGTGCAGATGTGGGCACAACCAGCCTACAGTATTCCTGAAGCTTTCTCTTGCACCCTGGTTCTCAAGAGTCACCTAAGCGTCAGGAGCACAGCAGTGCAGAACTATAGGTGTTGTCTTCTCTTTTCCTAGTGCTAGATAACTTTGCACAACAAATATAGGCGCATTAGAGTACCACCACATCATGCCTGGTAAGAAGGAGTCTGGTCTGGGCACTGGGAGTCTCTGTTCCTGGGTTCTCAGCCTAGCTTTGCCACTGATAAGGAACGTAGGCAATGCACTCCCAGTTCGTTGAACACCTCAATTGTGTCACCTGTTGAATGGGTCTATCGATAAGCTGGACTATAAACAGCCTGTAGGTCACAAAGTTATTTTGGGGGTTAATTATATTTTGCAAAGTGCATTGAATGAAAAAAAAGACCAACTTTTAATAAAAGTACTGGCAGGGGAGTGGAGAGGACTGGGATTTGGGACCTGAAGTCTGTTCTGGCTTCTGCCACAGATTAGCTGTGTGACCCTGGGCAGGCCACAACATCTCAGTTTCCTCTTGCACCTCATTTGTTTAGCTGACTGTGACAGGGACTGTTTCCTATTATGAGTTCATACAGCACTTAGCACAATGGTTGGGGACCTCCTGGTGGTACCCTAAGACAAGTAATACACAAGAGCAAAAGGTCTCTTTTGTAAATGGCAGCCTACAAACGTACAGGTTTAAGGTTTTTACCATGTCTTTGTTTAATGCAGCTCCCTTCAGATTGGCGAAAATCTGGATCCTAAGATTCCCACATCAACAACATCCTCTTTCCAACTATAACAGCTGCCAGCAGGGATGTGTAATAGATGAAACACCAGAGGGAAACGCTTTCACACTTCCTAGTGCCTGCAGCTAAGCTGATGTAAAAAAATTGCGTGATAAGCTTATGTAAAAAAAATTAATAAAATGTTCTCCATCTACCACGTACCATCCGGTTACAACCAAAGCACCGACACTTACTCAATCCTGCAGTGAGTAAACGTGTGACACAGCCCCCAGCTGCCATTTACTTATGCTGCAACTTTGCAGCTAGAGGAGCCTACCAGAGAGTAGGTGGGTGAGCTTTAAAGTGAAAGGCTGCTTGCTGGGTCTTGCCTGTAGAGCAGCCAGGATGATAAGAACCAGCTTCCTAATCTCCGACTCCAGCCGACTGGGTGACGCTGATAATAAGCATTACTCTCTGCTTCCATCGCGGGATGGCATGTTTTTAGATACTTTCAGACTGGCCTGTTTGTAAACTTGCCTTGACGTCAGCCCTTCTTAGGCAGGAGAAGAAGAAGATAAAAAAAACCTCACTGGCTCCAGGGTGCAAACACAATACAGGTAACCAGTGAGGCTATCCTAGTGGCCCACTGACTGTAGGCTGTCCAGCCGCTTGGTGACTGGAATGACTTAGTAATATTGGACAGAGGAGTGGTCTCTACCTGTCTGTATTAGAGGTGACGTAGGAGGGCTTAGCAAGGCAGAGAGACATAGATGGGTCACACTTACAGATCAGTTCTTAGGACAGTCCTCAAAACGGTCCCAGAAGCGACCTTAAGTCTGGTCTCCCCATTTCCTCCTGAGATTCCACCGTGGCGGAACGGCTGCAGGGAGGGATGGGGGCAGGGAGGTGAAGATGGAAGGGAACATGGAAGACAGGAAAATTAGGCCAGATCTACATTAGGGAAGAAAGTTGACCTAAGATACACAACTCCAGCTAAAGGAATAGCATAGATGGAGTCGACATACCTTAGGTCAAATTGCTGTGGTGTCCCCACTATGGAAAATTAGTGGAAGAAACTCTTCCATTGACTTCCCTTACTACTCATGACCTACTGGAGTACCTGAGTTGACAGGAGAGCAATCAGTGATTGATTTAGTGGGTCCTTACTAGACCCGCTAAATCGAACCTTGGGAAATTGATCTCCTCAGCATCAATCTCCGGGTAAGTGGAGACAAGCCCTAAAACAGCCACTGGATTGCATATGTCTCCGAGATCAAAGGAGGTGAGGTGCCGCCATGCTCCAGTGTTTGAATGAGTGGAACCAGGGAATGATGTAACAAGACAGAGCATGAAACCAGATTCATCTATTAGGATGCCATGGCAGTATTGATGGTACTTTCTCATGTCTCCTATCAACTGTATGCTGGAGCAATGTTGAACCTCAAGGGCTGGACAAAGGGATTAGAGATTTCCCCAGGGTGGCATTGCAAAACACCCAACCACTCATCTGTCACCACAGCCGTGGTGACACTGCAGGAGCAGAACACACAATTGATAAGTGAGAAACCTAAGCAAGAGGTATACACTATATAGAAGGGTTTGTGGTCTGGGTGGGTCAGGGGTGTCAGGAGTCTCTTGGGATCCTTTCTTCTGTCAGTAGCTCCCCATGTGACTTGGACAATTGACCTCTCAGAGACACTTTGAAGCTTAATGTGTTGTGGTCACCAGGTTGCAAATGCTATGAATGAAGAAATCTTTATATCTTTAAACTGCAGTGTTAAAAGGCACCAAACTGCATCGTCCTAAACATGTTACATTAGAAAAGGCTCCTGGAGTGTTGGATGGAGACCAATAGAATTCCCAACCTCTATGATCAGCTACTGATAATCCCTAGACACCCCTATGGGACTGATCAAGAGGATTTACACAAGTTCTGCTGGAGGGGAAACATTGCAATGGAATATGTAATGGTCAGTTGGCGCTCCTGGAAAATATCCCACCAATGCTTTCCTCTGTGCTGAAATGAGAAATGAACCACGTGTTAGTGGCCGAGGACTTTTCTTTTGGTTGGCTTGTCTCTTCCATACAATCTGAGCAAAGGAGGGATCCGATACAGGCAATCCCCGGGTTACGTACAAGCTAGGGACTATAGGTTTGTTCTTAAGTTGAATTTGTATGTAAGTCGGAACTGGCTCGAGATTCAGCCACTGCTGCTGAAACTGACCAGGGGCTGACTACAGGAAGC